ATTTCGCCAAAGTTTTCAAGAGAGCTTGGGAAAGGCGGGGACATGATGGGGATGTTCTGGTAAGTGGGTTCAGGGCTTCTGGCATCTGCCCCTGGAACCCTGATCGCTTTGACAGGACTAAACTGGCACCTCACAGGCTGTTCCAGACAGTGCAGACAGTCGACTCTACAGTGACAGCCGAGACAAATGGACCAACAGTGACAGAACAGACGTACGAACCGACAATGGCAGAACTGACGAATGAACCGACAATGACACTACCGGTACAGACAAACGAACTGACGATGGCAGATGCAGAACATGAGAGCGAACCGACGATGACATTACAGACTGACGAACTGACAATAGAAAATGAGAACGAAACGACAGTGACTGAGGAGCCAATGGAGATGGAGTGAACCGAAATTAACCAGACTGAAACAACAACAGACACTGACGTTGGACCATCCGTAGCCTCCCATGACCATAACATAACTGTCCAGACTGCCTTTGACAGACTGCTACTTTTGACAGCCCGAGCAGGAAGCAGTGGCCTGGTACACTACCTGACCTGCTATGACCTTGACAAGACGACAGACGAGCCAGAGCAGCAGCTTTTTTCAAAGTTATATGGCCTTATACAGACCCAACTGGCGACTGGACTGACTGACACTAACAAAGACAAGACTGCCCACAGACCAACTTTTGACAGCCTTCCTCTTCCAGCTCGCTGGGGCAGGAATAAACGGACAGTCATTGACCCACCTAAGATGGTGTCCTCTGACGAGTTAAAAATTTTTAAAGAGAACTTAGAAAAAAAGAAGAGAGATGAAGAAGAAGAAAAAGAAAAGAAAAAGAAAGACAGAGAAGAAAAGCGATTGAAAAATCTAGAAGAAAAAGAAAAAAAGAAAAGAGAAAGAGAGGAAAAGAAAAAAGAACAACAAAAAAAGAAAAGAGAAGAACAAGAAAGAAAAGAAAAGGAAAAGGTAAAAAAGCAAAATGAGAGAAAAGAGAAGATGGCAAAGAAAGGCAGACGACCAGTCAACACTCAGGTAGACTCTGAAACTGAGACAGATGACCACATCAGTTTGCATGACACTGACGACGACAATGACATGGACAATATTTGTGCAGGATGTGGAAGTTTGAATGCGTGTGGCAGTAATGGAAATGATCTTTGGGTGTATTGTGAATGTGGCAGATGGTTTCATGTTGTGTGTGCGAAGGATGACAGTGTGCTTGAAAAGACAGAGGAGGAGTTGCAAAGTGTTTCATACTCTTGTTTTTTCTGTAAAGGTTCTTTGTAATTTAGTAATGCAGTACTGTGCCAAGTTTCTTGTTCGTGTTACATATTTTGTTATAATATTCATTCCTTTATCATGTATGAATGGTTACTTATTGCAATTGATGGAACATTTTGTTTCTCCATATTTTCAGTAGCATACATGATGTATTTGCTAGACCTGCATGTGAGCCTCAACCAGATTGTCTGAAAATTTTGCGCAACCCCCCCCCCCCCCCCCCAAGAAAAAAGCCTTTGTGGGTGTGTTAAGGAAGAGAACATCCGAGTAACGAGCGACCACCCCCCCCACACACTAAAGAGAGAGACCTTACCCTAACCCCCAAAAGAGCGCGCCCCGGGCGCTCTTTTATAAAGCCCAACACACGTCCTATAAGAAAAAAAAAAAAAATTATTTTTAAACCCCCACTCCCACCCACACACAAAGCGTATAGATATAGATCTAGCTCTTTGATCTATAATGTGTCTCATATACATAGCTATATAGTGTGACATATATATATATATATATATATATATATATATATATATATATATATATATATATATATATATATATATATATATATATATATATATATATATATATATATATATATATATATATATATATATATATATATATATATATATATATATATATATATATCTAGATCTAGAAATCTAGTAATCTAAATAAATCTAGATCTAGATCTTGTAGAACAAGTGAATAGGAATAGGCCTTGAACTAGAAATCCGCATCCGATTCCGAACAGAGGGACTCAGCTGAGTCTAGATTCTAGATCTAGATTTAGATCTAGATCTAGATTCTAGATCTTTACTAAATAAATAAACAATTCCCGCACCTGATGAAATGCTTATTTTTACCAATATAAAGATTACAGTACAACCTATGATAGGGTTTGACACAATAGAATTGGAATATGAATCCTCCATTGAGGTCTATAATGATCTATATAAATCTAGATCTAGATTCTATTAGAACAAGAGAGTCGGACTTGAATGAATCCACACGATCTGAACAATTGAATTAGTCAACAAACGAAATTCAAAATGGCCGCTCGAGCACGAAACTGAAAGTAGATAATTTAAGTTGTCCTTTTTCGTATTCGCATTTCTACTTAGGTTCCGACAATTATGTCGGAAACGCCGACGTCGGCAGTCGGCGGTGCGCGCGTCGGCGGTCGGCACGAAAACGAAAGTGCCGACGAAGCCGACGGGAGAAAAAGGGGTCGCTGGCAGTCGGCCAAGCCTCGCACTACGCACATTGACTGATACAGGCGGGCCTAGCGATAGCATCGGCCGGTTCGCGGGTCGGGTCGCGATTGTCGGATTTCAGACGATTGTCGGCAAACATGCAGGTCTAATTTGCTCACTCATTGACATTGCCTTTTTTGTTCTCTTCAACAAAAATAACTTCAGGCCTAGATCTAGTGGTCTGGTGAAAGCACACCTTCGACGCCTTCGTATTTTCCCCACTGTTTTTGTCTGTATATTGTTGTGTAGGTTTATTACTAATAGTTTACTTGTCCCTTGCTGAGGTTACAAATAGCCAGGACACTTATAAGGACAGTGGGCAATCATAACATCTTGAAGAATGCCTTTCTTTACACTGTCAATAGAGGCCTGCTTGCAAAGTATGATGCCAGTCATGAGGAGAGACATTTAATTTATTTTTGTCTTATCACACTCGAAATCAGGTCCAAATTAAAAAGCTGGCTATTTATTAGGTACCAAAACGGTTCTTTTGGTCACTGAAAGAAACATACATATAAAATGACAAAAACAGCATTTTCAAAACAAGATTACATGAGGTGTGGTTCATATGAGGACTGCAGGTGGTTCGTGTAAGGGCAGGTGGTTCATATGCGGGCACATCCTGGTGTCTTGAAG